CAATTGGTGCCACGATTTTCTATGCTTCACAGCGGAGATGTCCATTTCGGTATATATAGTTCAATATTTGCTCCGAATCTACAATATATTTTTAAGCCTTAAATGGACAACCATAAGTAATGGACAAATCACAATTAATTATCTCCTTGCATTTGATTGTAATTGATCAATTTCTTACGGCTTAAGGCTTAAAACATCTATTATAGACTAGATTAAGGACTAAGGCTGGAATCAGATTATGCATTGAAGATCGAGATTGAAGATTAAAGATTGAAATTTCACCAATGAGGTTTAAAGAAATTTTGGCTCTTTTTTTCTGACCGGTCAAACTTCAATCTTTCAATCTTCAATCTCATTCTTCAATGCGTAGTCTGATTCCGGCCTAATGGCATCTTTAAAGATGGACGGTTCTGGACAAATTTTCATGTGAAGAATGATGATCGACGATCAAGTATTATTGAGTTTTATAACGTGTAGACATGTCTACAAAACTAATAAATCATAAAATTATTATCAAATTCTTATTTTTATCAGTAACGCTTAAATTTTAACAGTTTCGCGAATTTTCGTAAAACTGACCGTCTTTAAGTTCTACAATAGGTCTTTTAAGCCTTAAGTCTTAAGAGATTGATCAATTATTGTACAATCGAATATGAAGAGAATAATTGATTGTGATTCGTCCATTTCTTATGACTTGTGGTTTAAAAATCTATTGTAAATCCAGGCTAGGGAAACCAACGTTACAGGAAACTATATTTCTATAGGAACCAATGGCTGCGTTCAGCAAAAACTTTGAAAAACTGTTATATGATTCTTTAATACGATTAATCTATACATTTAGATCCAGTATGGAAGTAATGGCAAGACTAATTAATTGCATCAAAGAATTTTACAATATTATAGTTACAAAGCTGCTTTTTCTACTGAACGCAGCCAATAGGGGAAACAGCCTAGTGGGAAACTGGGAACTTGGTAGCGCTGGGGAAGCGCGACGTTCTCGGCTGCGCCGCGCAGCGCAACGCGCATTCGGATTCCGATTTCTGAGTTCGGAGACTTCGGAGTAATCGGAGGGAGTCCAGTCTGGCCATGTTATTAACGCGGTCGTCCCATACGTCGCCGCTAAATAAATTACAGTGCCGTGAAGGTAGCCGCGTATTTCGCGCAACGAAGTTTTTCTCCACGACGGCGGTCGACGTAGCCGTCCTTCCGGGATACGAGGGATTGCGTGAAAAAGCCACGGGGAGCCGCGGTTAGCTAAGTTAGCTTAGCTGCGTCATGTGCGTCTCCCAGGTTTCTCTAGTGTCACAGAATTGAGGACTCCCTCTTCCCTCGGCTGTCCCCTCTCTCCTCTCTCCCTCCGACCCCCCTCTCCCCTCCCCTCTCAACCCCCTCCTCGCCCCTCTGCTCGTGCTGGAGTGCTTCGACGGAGGAGCGAGAGAAAGACAGAGAGAAGAGAAAAGGAGAAGCGGAACGGCAAGAGGAGCAGGAAGAAGCCACGCTATAATGCATCCCGGAACGGCGGCCCGTCGCCGATGCGTCGTTGAACGCTGTCGGACGTTTCTTCTCCGGTCGCGCGAGGCTACGTCGTCAGTCTCTCAACGCAACATCGTCGGACGCGGATGAGAAGAGGCGCCCCGCGTCTTCGTGGGCCAGCGGAGGCGCTGCGAACAACACCGCGATTAGCGCGTGATATACCTCTGCGCGAGGTAAGTACTAAGTACGTTACACGGAGGGAAAGAAGCCTGGCCTGGTGAGCGTAATGAGCGGCCCCTCGCACACAATTCTCTTCTCGCCTCAGGGGCCTCAGGGTCCTCTCCCTGCCTCCTCGCTTTCTGCCCCGTCCGCACGTAGCATTAATCCTTCGCGCGGATCCTCTCGCGCGTCCGTCGTGCTCGTACCGGTCGCGCCGCGATGCACAGCGACGTGTTCCGTTTTTCGCGAACGTTACTCCGCGCCTCTAGTCCGTGTTACATTTACGCATTGGTTCGGTAATCGGGTATCTACAATGAATCGGTACAATGAATCTGTAGTTAGTCTGAAGAATAGTCGGCGAGTCGGGTGAATCGAAATCGGTGAATCGGTAGAGTTGGCCAGCAGCCAGCTTCTGAGGCTACCGACTCATTTGTAGACTCGGACTTTGAGACTGAGATTACGAATTGAAGATTAGAGCTCGATTAGTCAAATAATTTTTCATTTGTTTTGTTCTAATTGGCTGAATTCTAATCTTCAATTCGTAATCCGCAATGCATAACATGACATGGGCTTTTAACATTTTGCAAGTTTTCAGAAACCGGATAGTCGGACCATTTTCTCCTAGGAAAAATGAATTTGTACGCTCTAAATATTGTATATCGCCCGCGCGGTATGGATTTATATATAATTTTATATTAACATGATGTGGATTTTAAATAACACGGGTTTTAAATCCATACTATGATGGTGTTGATATAAATATGAGGGGGTTTGTAAATTGATACACCATATTGATACTGATATAAACACTAGGAGTTATAAAGCCATTCCATGTTGGTCATGTTGTGGTTTAGATAATATTAATTCTTACACAGTAAGAATGAAATAGACACCTCATGGTTTAAGTACTTTTTAAAGTATACTATCGGTATGTGTGTGTGTTGAAATCTTGATCTTGTCCGAATACCTTAATTTGTACGTGGGAAAAATTATTAAAAAAAAAATTATTTTTAATAATTATTAGGTAACTAATTATCTAATATTTTTTTAACCACGTTAATAGCAATTAAATTGATAATAATATAGCGATTTCGGTCACTTGCACTAAATTAGATTAGCGTACTAAAAGCTGCTATGAAAGCAATTTAGCAAAGGTAAATGTGAAAGTATAAATATTTTATATAAATATTTTAAATAATTAAACTACTTAATGGTGATATTATTTAACAGAATAAATATGTATATATATATATAATATAAAATTGCATTGTTAGTGTTGATTATACTATGCCGGCCCATGTACTTTAATGCTTTATAAATTAGTCTTTTTAATATATATTAATCCAGTACAGTGCAGTGTACAGTTGAGTGTAGTGCAAGTGATCGAATCCATAAATAAATCTGTTTTTTATAGCTAAACTGTATATCTCGTACTTAAAATGAAGTAAATGTGTATATATATTTGAAATTTGCGAAATGGCGAAAGGAAGAAAAATTTTTACTGCAATAAAGGAACATGCAGCTGTTAAAGAACATTGCTATTATATGTACAATTGCACGAGAAAAAAATGTTGTTACGTAAATTAGAAACCTGGTAGATATAACTGGAAAGATACACTGAAAGAAAAGTATTTAGTATTTGCGATTATAATTGTATGGTAAAATACGTATTAAGAGCTCCACTTTTACATTTTCAATTTTTATTACTGTTGTAATGTTAGCAATAACATTATTTATAGTTGTACCAAGAAAGTACATTGGCACGAAAAATTATTGTTATGGTAAAATAATTATGGGATTAGAGGAATTCATTTTTATAATTACTGCTATAATATTAACACAATAATTATTATTATTTATAGTTTTATCAAAAAAACATATATAGTTGGCAATGAATAATAAATTAAATTGATGTAATTGCAATCATTTTTTTCCTACAAATCAAATGCTTACATAATCAAGTTTATGAAATATTCTAGCTATAAAATATTGAGATAGAAATTCTATTAAAAATTCTTTCTGTTTTCAGTTTTGGTGTATCCATAATGTATTATTGTAGATGTTTTGTTGGTATAATCGTAACATTTTTAAATTTTTCATTGTCAATGTGTTAATTTAATAATAATATTAGCAAATTACATTACTCTTATTTTAATGAAATATTATTTAATGACAAAAGTAAGTAGAGAAGCGAAAGGTGTCATTTGTTTTATTAATATTGTGTTATTGACTCAACAACAAGATTATTTTCAATTAGACTACTACTAGTAATGCTGTCAATACGTTTTATCACTTTGTAACTTGTATATAATTTCATTTTATGCAAAGTATTATTGCGAAAAGCTTTTGTAATTATCGGCGGGAAATTTAATTGTATAAAGTAATTCATTCTTTATCTCAAAGGAAATAAAGATGTACTAATTAATTTAGTTAAATGAGCAATTTTGTTTCTCAATGTGCGTGTATCTGTATTTTATGTATGTCATCAAACAGTTTACTTTAAATCGTTTACTTTAAAGTTTCTAAGAAATGAAAACGCGAGCTATGTGAATTAGCGTATTAGGCTCGGTTTGATTTTCGAGAACGCGAT